TCATGCTTCAAGCTCACAGCGTGCTTTCTAGTACTGTGGCTCAAACGGCTCTAAGGTACCTGCATGACAGATTAGATTTTAAACAATGCCTTTTACCCCTGTACATGACTATGTAAGTATCTCCAAATATTTATATTTTGATATGTGACTAAGCAGAGCTGCAAAGTGATCCAAAAAACCAGCACAGCAGCTTGGTCTCAAATTAGGCTAAAGCAACTCTGCCAAGGATCAAGTCTGTTTTGAGCAGTATGGTGGAAGATCTTAGGCTTAAAAACTACACTCTGTACTTCACTTGGATGATTAAAATGTCAGCTAGAGATTCATATTGCCTCAATCTATTCTGACCTTAATTTTATCAAGAGGAAGTTACAGCTTTTCTTTTTTCTAGAGGCATGATTTCATGAATCTTCTGAATTTTTCTGTCGTGACTTTTTGTTAACCAACATTTGTGATTTTACAGATGACATGAAATCATTACAATAGAACTACTAAGTTAAAGCTTGATTTGCAATTTTATTTTTAAAACTGAAAAATTAGCTTACCCCTTTTATTGTGGTGTAGGTAATAATTCTTTTTCAAATCTACAGGTAAAACACAAGTTCATAAGTGAAATTGCTGATGAACTTATGACAGTCAGCAGCTACAGAAAGAAATATACTTTTAATCCTTGTAATTTTAAATGCATATTTAAAATAGCTTATTCTACAGCAGATGGAATATTTATGGAAAGATGAAATTATCTTAAGCTTGGAAAGTCAGTTCAGTTGGACAAAATATAAAAGCAGTGCTCTGTAATATAGAAAGCAAATGAAAGTGTTATGATACTTTACAAAAGTTCACATAACTAAGAAGCATAGTGAACACTCAAAGAAACATGTTTAGAGGTGTATTTGTGAACTTAAAGTTTATTTTTGAGGATGTTTAAAAGTAAAATGTAAGAAGTAAAAAGTAGTCCTTTCTGGTTGGTTTTTTTTTTCCTAGCTCTCTCCTTTGCTTCTGTTTTTTAAAACCACAAAATGTCTGAAGTTAAGCCAAGGAAAAAAGGTATTTCTTCATTCAAGACCAGTGAAGGTTCACAGAAGGCTGAGAAACACAGTAATTATGGGAAGCTGGCAAGTCCCAGGAGCAGCAGTAATCACAGTTCCTTTTGGATGGACTCAAGGACAAGTTTGAATATCATTTCCCTTGCTGTTTGCCTGGTGGTGAGCTGGTACGTAACTCTCTAAAGAGGATTTTAGTATTTTCTTTTGTATTCTGTCGGCTGTATGATTTACATATTAACAGAGGGCTTGGGCTAAGTGTCTAGAGAAACTTGTTAGAGGCAGAAGGATCCAGGAAAGAGTAGCAGTATTGACAGGAATGGAAACATGGGTGTGCAGTGAGTTACTGTACAAGCTCCAGCTGTTACATCACCCTGAAGGTGCCTTGCTCATACATTCCAAATATCTGCTTTGGAAACTGCATCTACCTGGAGAGCAACTTAGGCTGACAGGAAGTGCTCATTTGACAGGCAATAAATGGACAGAAGTGAAATAAAGTTTTCTGTAAATAATTTGCTCAACTGTGTAATAAACCAGGTGGACTCTTTAAGTAAAGGTCAAATACCTTTGTTAAAGATGTTTTAAAATATCTTAGCAGCATCAGTGCCTTAGTTACCTTAGCATGCAGTGTAAAAGCCAAGACATCTATGGATGCTTCCCTGCTGTCATACCTCTTTTAGAAGATAACTCCAGTATCAAGACAGACCAATTTTTTTTTTTTTTTTTTTTTTTGGCCATGTATTGATCTAGCACATTTTGTGAACACAAATCCCTCCAGTAACAATTTGCTGTGAATCAAGTCATGGAATACTTAATATATACTAATTGAGAAGTTATGTTTTCTGTTTATTTACTTGAAATTTGCAGGTTTCTATTTCAGCAGTCGGGTCAATTTGCTGATCTGGAAAGAAAGTACAATTTTTTACATCAAGAAGCTGAAAAAATCATGGATGTGGGAAATAAAGTAAACTTAATTTCTGAAAAGGTAATCATTAGCATCTTAATTGGATGATCATTGGTGAATATTTGTCATTGCTTACTTCATTGTTATTTTGTTAATTTAACTGCCTGTTTTAAAACAAGTTTTCAGAATGTGTTTTACTTGCCTGTGAAGAGGCATTTAGAGACTATTTCATGTGACAAAGCATGTCAATCCATGCCATTGTTCCAGTATGTGAATACAGTAGTTGTACCTCAGTATTATTTTTTAGAAACTAAACTATTATAAGAACTTACATACATGCACATTTCATTTTACCAGTCCTCTCTTGTGTGCAATTCTAATGTACATTGATTTGAAGAAAATTTACCAGCATTTTATCTAGCAGACCTCTTCTAATAATATGAAGACATAATAAAGTGATAAGAAAATACAATAGTAATGAGAAAAGACATTACCACGTGTGACATTACCAATCAGAAAAGCTGTGCTGGTTGCTGAATTATCCCTGATACCTTACAATAAGGATGGTAGCATGGCATGGCTCATGCCAGTGATTTTGTTTCAGCACTGATCTCAGAATAATGTCATTTATACATGATGTAATTTGGATATTTATATACTATACTTCAGATTGCAGAATGTTGCATGAGATTTACTGTATTTTGGACACAAAAAAAACCAAACATGGAAAATTGCATATATGCTATAGAAGTTCAACAACAGACGTAGCTTTTTTCTGTGACTGTTTCATGCTAGGTTAATCAACAATATTTTAAAGATGAAACATGGAAACGCACCATGGAGGAGCTTGTAACAAGTACAGTGGTTTTTAAGGGACTTCATTATCTCTTAATAAATGGAAAGGGTTTTCTGTTCTTACTTTTGTTAAGTAGACACAGACATTGTTTTGTGTTGTAAATGCAGCTTGAGTCTTCTGAAAGTATCCTGCGAGAAGCTGCCTCATCCATCTCTGTGATGACTGAGTTTGGGCAGGAAATATCTTCTCTTCATAACACCATAAATGATATTCAGAACAATGAACAGACTCTATCTCTAAAGATGCAGAGCATTAATGAGAAGTTCCAAAATGTTACAAATTCCTGGAGAAGAAGCCTGGATGAAATGAACACAAATGCTAGTGGTTTAAAATCTGAAGCAAAGTTCATACATACTGAAGTTACTTCCAAAATCAATGAAGTTGACCAAAGAATTAAATCCCTTGCAGAAAGAGTAAAAGATTTGGAGGACAGTACAGCCAGAAATATCAGAACACTAAAAAAGCAAGAAGATGATGAATTCTCTAGAGTTGAACAAAAGTTGAACTTGGATGCAAAATCAGTTGAAAAGCTAGAAGAAGAACAGAATAGTCTGGTAGCCAAGGACACAGACCTGAATCAGAAACTTGCAAACTATGAACCTAAAATTGAGGAGTGCAAGACCCATCTGCCAACAATTGAAAATGCTATTCACTCTATTCTTAGGCTGTCAAGTGACTTGCTTGGTATGGAGAAAAAGATAGAGGACTTGAAGACACAGCTGTATGCTGTGGAAAATGACATGCTGAAAACTGTGTCTGATACAGTGGCCATGCAGAAGGCTCTTGAAGGCCTCCAGTCCAATGGCAGCTTGATCAAAATGCAGCATGAACTAGGTGTTCTAGATACAGGGCCTGACACAGCAGTATCTTCAAAAGTAGAAGAAGTAACTTTAGAAAGCTTTCACTTAGAAAATGACCAGAATGGGGATAAGTGAATTTGGCCTTAGGTTTTTCATTGATAAAAAAGCACTTTTCTATAAATAATGTGATTTAAATCTATGTCAGGGATAGCTGATGGCCTGTCATTGATCTAAAGATCATTGGAACAGCTTGAAAGGTTGAGAAAGAGGGTAGAGAGCAAGACAGTAATACTTTGGTAAACAAGGAAAGGAATATTTTCTTAAATTAAGGATTATTTTCAGTTTATTTATTAAAAGATCTTTTTTATTAAAAATAATTTGAAGCCAAGTATTTAGATTTAAGGGAAAAAAGGTCATAATTTTTGTTTGTATTTAGCTTTCACTACTTAGTTTCTTTTGTTGTTACTTTGTGTATTATTTTCCATAGACTTGTAACACAGTGAACAATTAATCACTTATTTCTCAGCTGAGATAGCTGTACCTTGCTTTTAAAGTGTTGTACACCATAATGGTTACGTGCTACAGGAAAGCACTGAGTACATTTTTAACAGCTGAAGCTCAGATACAACACCCTTAGAGAAAACCTGCTGAGAACCTTGCATTGTTCTGCTTTCTATAAGCTGGCATTTACATAGGACCTGGTTTGGTTTTATTTTGGGGGGGGGGGGGGGGGGGGGCATTTTGGTGCTTTAGAGACAAATTTTAACCTTTTAACATTTTCTTCTGTCGGATGCTCTTTGTTAGGCATTACATGATGCATTTTGTATTGCTTTGCTTTTGAAAAGAAAAAAAAATTAACAGTGTCACTGACATTGTTTCCCAAAGTTTGCTGAACCAAGAGCTGCAAAAGTAATTAATGAAATCAGTGGAGTTATGTGCTTGGGAGCAGGGAATATCCAGTTTACCCACAGACCTACTTACACATGATGTAATGCTACCTAGTAGGCCTGGTAGATGTTCATTGAAATTTGGATCTCAGGGACAACACAAATTGTCTGCAGACTTATTGTCTTGATAATTTTGTATTTCTCTGGAAAGGAGATTACTTAGTAGAAACAGTATGAACACACATTTATGACTTAATCAGACCTAATTAATATTAGTCTGGGTTTGTACATTAATTTCTTTAGAACTCCACTGAAATCTTCACTAAACAAGTAACACTGTCCATTCAAGGGACTATGAAACCAGTGTTTCTCAATGTCATAAAACTGTGTTGGTTTCATATAATTATTGCTTATGTATAAATTTCTGTTTACAGTGATATTCAAAATAAAAATATATTGTAGTGAATTTCCCTGTCCTGATGCATAATCTAATTCAAAATAAACTGCTCCTCCAGAAAGGGTACAGAATAAATACTTTAGTGTTCCCTGTCCTATTAGGAAAAACTATGATATAAAGAAATGCTTTTTAAATATTTTTTACAAGTTTCAGGTTTTTTTCAGTGTTTCAGTTCTAGTGTTTCTACTTTGTATCATTTTGAGGCAGGGTGGTGGGAGTGACAGTGATGTGATCCCTAATCTTTCATCAACCTCAACCCTATGGAAAGCTGAATGTGCAGGAGATTCAACATGAAATCCTCATCCTTGGAGGCATTAAGTAGGAAACAAGCACAACTTTCCACAACCTAAATTCTGGTCTTTGCTTTTGAGCAAAACGGTTCTGAGCTATTGAGGAACAACCCGTGCTATTGAAGAGTTAAAAATATTGGTTTCTGTGATTTTTACTACTAATGTCCAGAAAAGGATTTATATGAAACTAATTCTAAACTAATAGAATGTGTTTCAGTTTGCCTATTTGGTGGTTTTTTTCTCTCCAAGTTCTACCCTGACTTATTGGGGATCAAACTAGATAGTATCACTCAGATAATTTCCTTTTTTCCTCTCAAGTTTGAAAACAAAGAATCAATCATAAGAACACAAATATAAAAACATGAACTAGCAAATCAAGACAAAAATCCAGCAGTAGCATGAGATTTTCTTCACTAAAATAGCTTTTATGGAGACTTGGATAAAAATTTCTATCTATGGAAGAAGATTCCATTTGATGACTTGTGTTTTCAGAGGTCACCTTGGAAAGTCATATGGCACCTTGTAATTTTTTTGTTATAATAGAAGAAGTACTAACATTTATTATGTATACTGACAAGAAAAAAACCTGGTTGTGTTGTAACAGAAATTGATTTCCTAGAAACAGGGTTTGCACTCAAGTTGAATGTCAGAATAGTAAGATATTTCATTGAAGTATAGCTTGAATTTTGACGTTGAGTTGTTAAGCTAGAAATATTTTTGTATCCTTCTAGTGTGAAAAGACTTGGAACTTAATGAAACAGCTGGAAGATCTTCAAATAATTTCTCACATTAAATATCTGCAGGAAGATATTTATACAATGAAAACATGGTCTAGCAGCATAATTAAAAGACAAGAAGAACTGGAGAAGAATTTAACAAGCCTTTTTCATGCAGTTTCAAGCGCTGAACAGAACACAGCTTCTGTAGCAAAAAATGTAACATTGACAATTGTGACAGTAAAAACTGACATAAGGCGCATTTCAGGCCTGGTCTCAGACATGACTGCACTGACAGATTCTTTGCAAACACTAGAAGATAAAGTGGAAAAAGGTGAAAAGGCAACAGTAAAAAACATAGGTGACCTCCTTACCAGTAGCATCGATCGAAGTATGAAAATACAAAGCCTGGCATCCAGTAATGCAAGGAAAATTGAGCAAATCAAGACAGCACTGTCTGAGTTAAGGAGCGATTTTAACAAGCATTCCAATAGACTTTTGAATCTTGAAGGTGACAGAGCAAAAGTTCTGAAGACAGTTACATTTGCTAATGATTTAAAACCTAAGATGTACAAAGTTAAAAAGGAGTTTGCTATCTTGGAGCCTTTAATAAACGACCTAACACTGAGAATAGGAAGATTAGTGGAGGAGGTCTTGCAACGGGAGAAGGAAATTGCTTTACTGAATGAGAAATTGGTCAATCTAACAAGAGTTCAAACCGAGATCAAGGATGTGAAAGATGAAATAACCAAGATTTCAGACATTAATTGATCACTGAAAGGCCACTGCCTAAAGAACAGTGTTTCAGAATTGTTAACTCCCATCATGTGTAGTACTGAGAAGACAGACAATATTTAAAGGCTTCATTTAGAAGCACACCTAAACCTGAAATTTGTCCTATTCCTTTGAAAGGACAGGAAGAACTCATACTTATTTCATGGGAGAAATAATAATGTGAACAAAAAACTTACCTCTTTGCATGTATCTTTCTGAAGAATGACAGATGCTATATTTAATAAATTGCTTGTTTTGTAAAATAAAGCAGTGTTAAAGTACAAAATTATGTTCTTAGCTTTAGAGTTTGCTTTCATAAAGAAAGCAGGACCCAAGAATGACAGATTCCAGTTTTGCTTTCCTGCTGCAAAGGAAGGAATAGAATTGTGGTTTCCAGCTAAGCAAGAGGTAGTCCAACACCAGTAGTACTTTGTCTCTATTCACTCTATGATTTTTGTAAACTAGTTTCTTTTTAAAATAATATTTAACAAGGTAAATGCAGCGAAGCAAGAAATGCTCAGAAATATTGCTGATACCTTCCAGAAAGTTTTGTCACACATTTAGATGGAATAATTTGTATAAGGCTTTGTGTAAGGCTTTTGCAATTATAAAAGCCTTACAAAAGGCTTTCATATAAAAATTACTGATTAAATCAAAATTACTGTGCAGCACCATTCTGTCTTTAAAAGACAGAACGCTCTATAGGGACAATGCTCTGAAAGACCTAATGATGCTGCTGATGGCTTTATCCCAGTGTCACAGTGTCTGCTCAGGAATCCTAACAGTTAGTCATTCATTATTTCTTAGTCTGTAAAATACTACAGTGAGCAGCAGAATTAGCAAAGAGAAGCTGCTTATATCCCAGAAGGCTACTGCTTTGAACTACTGGGACTATTTAGGTGCTGCAGAACAACAGATTTGAGACATTTGAAAATGAAGTAGGCAGTTAACAAGATAGTGGGAATGCTTTTAGCAGAGGAAGGTGGGAGAGAAGTGCATTAAATAGGAATAAAAATGGCTATAAATATCAATTAGAAGCAATACAGCAACTCAGAAACTCCCTGTAAATGAAATTATATCAAGAAGTGTAAGTACATAGGAAAGCCTTTATAACTTTTCAGTTGGCCATACCTTAACATCTAGCAACTACTAGACTCTTGATGGTATGGAAGATACAAGCACTCCTGTCCCTCACTATTTTCATCGTCATTCAGCATTCCATGTATTTTGGTCTGCTTTATGTTGCTGGTCTTCTGTATCTTCTTTGCTTCATTTGCCCACAGTCAACCTGCAATACTTTGTTTAAAGTTTTCCTCTTTTTGGTGCAGGTCCATTCCTATCTCCCCCTTTCTTCTACCCCCTTCCAGGCCACCTGACAGATGGCAAGAATAAACCTGTCAAAAGACAGGTTTTCCTAGGAGCATCCACAGATACTCTACCAACCCCTGTCCCTTTGCTGTTCCACACCGTTCTTAAATGAGCTCCTGAAAATTACCAAATGGCATTTGAAGCAGGCAGCAAAATTAAAGAACAGCCATGGTTAAGTATATGCATTGCCTATCATACCTGAAGCAATGTATGTACACATGCACATACACCTTAGGGGTTTGAGGGTTACATAATAAATATATTGTGGATTAAAGGCATCACAGGCTACAGTCACTTTATTCACTTTGCTTTCAATTTAATGAATGCATCATTTGTGGTCAGTAGCCAGTAAGAATCTGGAGAGGCAGAACCAGAGAACCGGTAGAGCAACATCTACACAAGTGATGCGGAAAAAAATACATTCCAGCTGCACAGTTAATCTGAGCAGCCTTGACACAGCAGAGGTCTGTCTGCATGCAGAGTGTACTTACTCCTTGGAACAGCAACCAGAAAACAAGCCAGGATAAACAACTGTGAATTTCATTTTCAACCTCCAAAGTCTAGAACACGTCTCCCAGTGAAAAGCCGAGTGTACAGTCCTGTGCGTGGTCTCCAAGGGAAGTTAAACATGCAAAAAAATGTTACAGGACCTTTCATTTCCCTTTCCCTTTAGATGCATGCAGACTTCCTACCCTTACTTCCCAGGATAATCCTCTCAGAAATTTTTCTTGCTGCTATCAAGACAAAAAAATTTAGTCACAAAGGTAAAGTTTACTTGAAAAAAATATTTTGGAATAATCTGTATCTCAAGTTGTCACACCACTATACTGACCTCAGCAGTAAGGCGAGCAATCGGAAATTTCCCATAATCCACACAGGTATTACAAATCTCTATTTGCCCTTCGGGCACACATCTCCACTGTACTAAAAAATGGAAGTTTTATAGTAGCTTTATAATTATACTGCTCTAAGCAGGGAGGCAGAGAGCTCCTTCGACAGTGGAAAAGGTGAGCAGAAAGTGAGGTATTTTTTCAAAAATTTAAAGCAGACAGGTAACCTTGCCTTCTTGTTTTAGTACTGTCAGTTGGGGAGAGTAACAGTTTCGTGAAACTACAACAAGTTCATTTCTAGGGCCATGCAGTGATACTCTGCAATTTTATCAAATGATTGAGTGATTCAGGTAATAATGAAAATTACAGCTATGCTACTTAAAACAGATCATCCCATTGAGCCCAAAATGTAGTGACATTCAGGCCATCTTTGCTTTTAATTTAGCTTTCAGGTACAAAACTGGCCAATTAGTATACTTGTCAGCAACTTGAAAGGAAAAAAAACAACCCAAAAGCCAGCAACAGCATTAAATGATCAATGATAAAAAATTACATGAGCGAATTAATCCCAAAAGAATAAAATCTACTTTTAGATACCAGAACATCTGCTTAGCCAAGAATTTTCTGCTAGCAGTATCTCCCTAGCACTGAGTTACAAAAATTCTGTAACACGGCCATGCAGCTATTAAGCTCATCTACCCAAGGTACTCATATTTGCTATAAAAAAGCAGGATGTTTATTGTTTTCACTGCGAACTACATCATTTCTATGTAAAAATGTAAATGAGTTACAAGTATTTGTATTATTACAGCCCATTTTAAAATGATATGCAACAGACATTTCCGCAAGTATCAGTGAGCGTCAGCACATTTCATCTGTAGTACAACCTGATACAAACACCGTGTGCAAATGCAGTAGTTACTCCAAATTTATATATACTTTAAACCAGAAAGCTCATCTCAGCTCCAAAACCAGCAAGAAAGTATGTTTTCTCCTTCATAAAATATACACAAGCAGCATATACATAATCCATGTTTTACAGAGCACTTTGGGGTTTATTGATGGGTCTGGAGTTACCTAAGTTCAAAATGGGGTACAATGGGGTTCAAATGGGTACCCCTTTTGGACTTTCCTTGCAATGGAAGTGCAAATCCATCAAAAGTACCATTGCTCCATCTCAACCTTCAGAAAATGTACCAGGCATTATGCACAAAGCAGTTATCAGTGACAAAGTTGACCTTTTAAATGAATTTTAATACATTTTTCCCACTGAAGCTTCTTTAAAATACCAGCAGGCAACCCTTTAAGCAACACCCTTTCCTAACAAGCATCTGAACAATCCTATGGCTGAATGTCAATGAAGCTGGCGGCTGCAAGGCAATTCTCTCCCCCTCTTGGGTTTTCCACTGAAATACAACACTGCAAGGAGCACTAAGTGTAGTTTCCCTTTCTCAGTTACAGAAGAGGAACTGCTGGCTGCCCCTTGTAGTCTTATCTCAGGTCTACCTTGACAAAATTATCTAAGCATCTTTAAAAGATAGTTTCAGGTCTACCAGTCAGCAATAAGAAAATGGACTTAAAATTCTCTTATTGTTGTACGTATTTTTAACAACTGTGCAACATGGACTCAATCCTAGAGAAAAATTGTGCGACTTTGCTCCACATACAGAATGAGTCTTGAGAAATTTAGCTCTGCACTAGACTGCTTGGCAGACTACCTCACTACATAAGCCAAGCTTGTCTCAGTCTTCTGCCAGCCTTAAAATTTGAGTTCTTCTCTTTCCCCAGGATTAGAAGGAACTTTCAGCAAAGAAAGAAAAATCTACTGAGTTAAAACATGCCTCTAAAGAAACTGATTTTCAGTACACGAAAGTGAGTTTTGCCTAGGAAGCTGCACCATACACACAACTTCAAAAGGTGATTTAACATCAACAGTCTTAATACAAGTCATAGTAAGGGCTCTTCTCCAAGGAAGCTCTTACAAGTATTTAATGACTCATTAAATAATTTCAGAGCTTCCCATTCACGATGGGGAAACAAGATTTACATACTTTTAGCATTAGATAATTTTAATTCAACAACAAAGTACTTGTACAAGTATTGTATTTAGGCTTAGGGTCTAAATTTGACTTTGCTGTGTAATGCAGGCAGATACCAGTTGCTCTAAGAGTGCCTTTATTACTGTCATGGTGACAGGGAAATGGTGTAGTTCTAGCTTTTACTCTGCATTCTGAAAGGCAACAATTCAAAATAAGGCCCAGCTTTCTTGTTTAGCATAATCATTCAAAATCTTGGAAGTTGGAGGATTTTCCCAGGGGGTGAGAAGCTCAGTGCTTCAATAGCAGGCACATCTGACTCCAGCAAGACGCAGCAGTCAGTACATTTATGATATTCCAATGGCACCTGCCTGATTTGTCCTTTTGGCTCTGAAGGAGCCAAGAAAAGAGGAAGAAGCAGTGTAACGTAAGTGCCAAGCTACGTTCAGTATCAGCTCACACACTGTAAGGCAGCTTATCCACAGAATTGCAAAAAAACCCACATCAGCTCCAGCTCTACTTTGTGAGCTAAGGAGTACTGGATAGGGTGTAGTGATTACCAGCTGTGGGTTATTGAAGAGGTGAAATGCAGAAGGCAGCACCATCTCCCTCCACTAAGACTCGAGAAAAAACTTTAAAATAAATACCTTAACATTTCTTTTAACTTGTGTACTGAGGAGCATGTATTTCTTCACATCAAGGTCCAAAAAACCTGGCATGGCTCCTTGAGCTGCAGAAATACATGGTTCAACCATAATTCAGTATTATACTAATTCAGAAAAAAATAACTGAAATAAAAAACTACAGCTGTAGCAAATGTAGGGAAAAGCTGGCAAGTTTTTCAAACTCTAGAGTAAAAGACAAGCCATTTTTACTTTATTGTAAAGCTGAAGTACACCGTTAGTAGTCAAATATATTTGAAAATCTTTATTAACATCAGCTTTTCTCTAAATAAGAGGTAGCAACTACTGTTTAATTCCACAGGACAATCAGAAGAGCCAAGTTCTTTGGTGTGGTTCAAAGCCAACAGAAGCAGAAATTAGTCAAGTAAGCATAAGTTAAGTTGGGATGACCATCCCAAGGCAGAAACAGCTCTAGTATGCATAAGGTTCCTTTTATCTCTGTGGGAAACACTGATATCATGACTAGGATGCCCCATCAGACTCCAGTCTCATCTCAGCCATTCAGGAGTTCAGCTGTTCCACAGTAACAGCTTATTACAGGCAAATGATCAGTGGGCTCCAAGTGCAAGGACAGGTTCTTGGCACTTCTCTGGAAACAGTGAAAACCTAATTTTAAGTGGAAGGGTAACATTTCTCTAGTTTCTAAAGTGTGATACAGGGTATTTTTTTAAAAACTTTTTTGGGGTGGGAGGGGGGAAGCCAGGAGAGTATTTGAGGTATTTGCTACTATGAAATGAAGCTTACATATGCAGTAGTAAACAGACACTAAGCACTCTGTTTCTCATTTATTTCAGGCAATGACAGTGGTAGAATTTAAACCCTCATGTGAGATGAGGGCACAAACAATAATGACATTATATAGTTTGTTTTCTACATAGTCAAATATATAAAAGTTTCATGAAACTCATCACTGGGTCAGCCAGCAGTCAGTCCATGAGTTGTCTATTCAGTTAGACCAAGCTTCTTCTTCAGAGATTCTGGCATTTCAGGTGGAGGTGGGCGAGGAAGTCTGAAATAAACCTTGACAGAATCGTAGATGAACCATTGTAGTGCAGTCAGGGTACCAATCATAATGATACGAGCAAACAGACCTTTCCATACACCTGGAGAGCAAACCATAAAGTGTGAGCAGCATAAAATGGCATGAAAAAAATGCCTCCTCCCCTAAACACCAGAAACACTTGATCCAAAATACATGAAAGAAAGAATGTACCTCTGAATCCAAGCCTCATAAGAACCTGTGAAGCTGAGCTGCCCTTTTCTTTGTTCAACACAGACACCACAGAGTCAGCAGGATGGGAAACAATTGCACAGAACACACCAGCTGAAAGAATAATTTGACATTAGTTCTGTGGTGTTTTAGCTGTACCACTACTGTGTACACTAAGTACAACCACCTGAAACTTCTGAACAGAAGAAAACAGCCAAAAAAAACTTCTGAATCTTTGGATATTGAAAATTCCCCCCTTTCATCAAAAGATTCCCAAGATTGAGAAAGATGCAAATTTTCACTTAAATCAGCTGCAATTTTTAAATCTGGCCATCAATACTGATAACATATAAGAGCAGTTAAGAGAAGTCTCCTATTACAGACCCATTTTCCCCTAACAGACTGATTTTACAGTTACTTCTGCACATTTCAAAGCTGCAGGGAAGTTCTCCCATGTTAGTGACATCTGCTAATGCCACTTTTCACTTAATACTCTGAAAAGCAACAGGTCTCTAGATTTGCAGTAATCCATTAATGTAGTGTAGAACTTAAAGATTCCTTACCAATATAGCCTGCAACAAATGTGACTACCAGCTGTTCTCCTTTTGTACATTCACTTCGTGGCTTGGGAACAACGTACTTGTAGAGAGCTTCAACAGTACGTTCAAAGCAGGCAAACTTCATCATTGTGTATGGAATCTGTCTCATCCATAGTGGAGCAACACCTTTATAGAAACTTAACCAGAGAAGAGACAATCTCAGTTTCATTTTCTTCATTATTTAAAAGTGTATTTCTAACCTGAAATAAATTAGCTTATTTATTGCTGCTATACAACTTCTATATACTGACCCTGTAATGCTGTCAATACCTACAGAAATTAGTTGTTTGAATTCCAAAGTACAACCTTCAAACAGCAGCACAATTTGAAATTTTCCTGATCCCCAGGCTGCACAGCAGTTTCTTTAGTCCCTTTTCAGATTACA